AAAGCTCCGTTTGCACAAGTGGCAGGTGCATGTGTGAAACCATACAGTCCCCCCACCACTGCTGATCTGAGATATTTAGATATTCTAAACCACTGGTTTAGAATATCTGTAACTCGGTGTTGAAATGAGGGATCCTTGGAGCTCTCCAAATTTGATTGTTTTCTTGCAGATGTTTCATTACCCAAATTAGGTAACATCATTAGGTAACAACCACGCTCAGAGAGCACCAAAAAATCCTCAGTTTAGAGTATATTTATTTCCATACTCCTTTTAATATCTCTATACAATGAGAAATACCTCTTAAAACTAATCATTTTGACTTCCTGGGCATAATTAGGAATGTGCAGAAGTTATTTACTATTTTTGAATAACTATTCATTGTACATCTGATGTACAATGTAGCATGCTCCAAGCAAAAGAAATCACCTGTAATCTATGTTGCACTGTGTTTGTGAATTTCTGCCACTGACTGAATAAGTAATAGCTGGGTCTGAATGATGTATTACTCCCCTTTATGTAAAAGTTCTTGCCTAGATGTGTCAAAGTTATCATTCTCTCTATAGAAGTAATTTGGCTGTTTACCTTGACTCTATCTAAACAGAAGACACAAGTGAAGATTTTGCTCCAGTGCCTGGTGGTTGTGAGGGTCTGGATTGCTCAAATTCAATCCCAGTAAATCAGTGGTTTTGAGTGGAAAAGTCCTCTGATCCCATCTTCACCTTTGGACTTGGGGGGGGGGGGTTGTAATCTGGAGTGCTCCTGGCTCATAGCTTCTGTTTGAAGAGCAGATGGGAGCTGCAACTATGAGGGGTTTTTCATAGTTCCACCTTATTCACTGGTTATGAACTTTTCTGCACTGAATGGCTTTGCTCACACTCACTTATGCCTTATTTCCCATTTAGATTACTCAGGTGTGCTGTAGATGGGACTAAATTTGAAGACCACCCAGAACTTCAGATGATCCAGAATGCAGTTTGTAACAACTCTATTTCGAGGACTGCTATGATTACCATTTTTTTCTGAGTGCAATTCAAGGTGCTCGTTGATGTATGTAAAGCCCTTCATGGGTTCAGGGTAGAAATGCCTCTACCCAATGTTATCTTCCTGTCCTTTGAAGTCAGTAATATAAGGTTTCTTTCAGGTTCTCATCCTTCATAAATGCCACCTGTAAGGATTCCCTATGTCAGGGCTTCTCAAACAGGGTTCTTCCTCACATGAAATGGGTTATAACCTTGATAAATTTCATAAAGCCATCAAGAACTATTTATTTTAGCAGACCTTTGGGACGTAAAGGGTAAAGAGGTATATATTATATATGTTTATAAGCCACTCAGAAGAGCATATAAGCCTAATAAAATAAATAGACAAGCAAAATTGTAGCAATTTCTTTAAAATCTTTCAAAAATATGCAAGGGTAAAAATACCACTGTAAATGGTTACCATTAAGAAATAGTAATTAAGAAAAAATTTTAAAAAATAATTTGTTGTTGTTATTAGTTAATCGTTAGTGAGAATCACAGCCTTTGGGGCTGGTTGATAGCTTGAGTCCTAACCAAGGACCTAGGAATTGTTCAGTAATAAGTGTTGTTATTATTATTCAAACTACATGAAAGGGAGCATAAGAACCAACCACCATTATCTCTGCATCTTTTATTTAAGCATCTTTATACTTTTTCTCTACTTATGACTATAACCTTGTTGCTTGTATCTTTACATTATGTTTTATTTAGTTTCCTAGTATGATTTTGATTGCTTATTTAGTATCCTATGACTATCACTGTTGTATCTTATGATTCTTAATGAATGTATTTTTATGTATACTGAGAGCTTATGCACAGAAGATAAATTCTATATGTGCCCAATCTCACTTGGCCAGTAAAAAATTAAAAATTAAAGAATTGCTACAGTAATTCCATCATAAGTATCAGGTAGGAGGGAGAAGAGAATCTACACTGCTGCTTAAGTTAGTTACCACCATCAATCATTGTTGCTCTCATGCCATGCAAAAACAAAATTCTTGATGGAGTTATCTTATGGAAATGCAGCAGGTAGGAAGATTTCAGGAAGATATGTCAAAAAAAGTGTAATGATAAGCAGTCTCTGTAGTGAGAGACAGAAGTGTCTGAAGTGAGAGTTTTTGGTGTATCTTCACTAGGATTATCAGGAAATAAATAAATATTATTGGCAGTATCCAAGAATTATTTCTTTTCCAAATTGCTGGTCAATCAGACTTTAAAAAAATATCAGTGCCACTATTAGATATGTTAGATATAGTTTCATGCACTGCTGTTTATAAAATCATTGAACAGTTTTTGTGGGAACTGTGGCAAGCAGTTCATTTTACAGTTCACCTTTACTAAATGTAGCATAGTAATAAATGTGTAATAAATGCTGTTAACCTGGAACATGTGTATTTTTAGACAACTGCATGGTTAATATACAACCATTACATATTTCATTAATTAACAGCAGTATCAGGCTATAATTCTGATGTAATCTACAAAGCTTTACCAGAGACCAGAGTATTTGACATAGTGAATCCTCTTCTAAGTCTGTGATATTTAAATTTAATCAGGAGTACTTTTCTGTCACCTTTCGTGCCTTTGGCAGTTATCTAAAAGGCTTTTTTCTGGGTAATTCTATCCTGTAAGATTGCTTACTAAAAAGCCCATTTAGCCTTTTCTCTGGTGACTTTCCACCATCATTGAAATGTATGGAAATACACATACACGTGCACATCTGCAGATTGGTCTGTGATTTCATTCATTTACTTTAAAGCTACTATAATTATGCTATTATTCATTTATTATTACTGTTTAACTTACTTCTATTATGGTTTGACATTTACTTTGTACTTCCTGTTGCTAGTCAGCCCACCTGTTCAATAAAAAGTGTCTGTGTGGTTGCTGCTGCACGCAAAAAAAAATTGAACTTGAAGACAGGGGGAACTGAGGTAGATGAGATTGAGAAAAAGTATATGAACACGGAGGAGGAACAGAATATTAATGTGGAAATAGAAAAGTGAAAAGGAAGGGAAGTTTTGAAAAGAATGAATTAGAAGAGGCCTACTTTGCATATTACTCATGTGGGAAAAAGCCATGAAATTTCAGTGTGATTGTAACCAGATTGGTGTCATCACTTCCTATACACAAATATTAAAAGGAGGACTATTTGTATATGGGAAACTTTTTCACTGAAGCTACTACCCAAACTGCAAAGCTAATCAAGCAATAATTGAAACCTCATGTGTACCTATAGCAGACTCTGCTTCAGATGTTCCTGCATAATGTACGACTATCAGGGACAGAGAAGCTGTACAAAATAAATTCTAACTGAATCCTCCATTGGGTGCAGGTTATTTAATTGAATAAAGCATCTTTTCTAATGACATTCTTTCAAAAAATGTGTCTCTCAGAAAATTAGTTGATTGGACAAGCCATGGTTGCAAAAAAAACCCTGTTGAATGAATAGAGGAACTATATGAAAAACAATGAGGAGGCCTCAAGAAAGAAAACAACACATCTTAGAAAAAAGGTCAACTAAATTAATTTTGTGATGAGATGACGTAGCCTGTTAATATAGAATATAATTAAGCAAAGACATCAAGTTTTATTTAAGTTGTGCAGTCATTCAGCACATGTGTACACAAAACTGCATATTTGTCTTCTGCTGAGATTCTGAGCAGAATTGAAAATGAATCCCCACCACCACCACCTCCTCTGCCAGTCCACTAAGCCGGAAAGGTTGGAGACCATTGTTTTAGAGGACCTCTACTTAGTCCAATGGACATTACAATAAGGATCATCTATGAACATTTATATAAAGGTTATCAGAAATCTTGTGATTGGATGGTAATTAATATAGTAATAAGATCAAGCTCTGTTTATCGGTCAGTAGTAGTGTAGGTGTTGGAATGGTATTTCAATATTGTCACCTCCTAAATGAGATCCAATCAGTTGAACCTCAATTTCACCAAGAACAGGAGCAATGATGTGAAATGATGACTCACTATTTCTTCATCAGGAACTCCACCTATTTTAATACTCCCATCAGCCTCTGTCACTCTCTCATTACTCAAATGTCTTCCTCCTACTCCTGAAAAGCTCTGCCTTTTTCCATGAACAGCTGGCAGGTGCTGCAATCAGAACGTGTGACCTGTCAGGCAGTCTTGGCTTACAAAATTATTACGAATTAAAATGTTGAAGGATATGTCAGCATATGTCATCAATACCTTTCCATGACTATTTGATATCTGAATAGCCCTTTCAATGAATCAAGGGAAGTTGATTATTGCCTTTGACTATCATTATGAGAAATTTGGATTTGCGGCAGTGTAACATACCTTTTCTCAGTTTTCATGTGATTTTTGAAATATATTTTTTATGAAATTATGCACTTTTAGTAGTTTAATAGAACAATTTGCCCATTTGCCTGGTGTTCATACTTCAACACCTTTGTAAGTACAACTGTTATGTTGCACTAAAGATATGGCTTTTTTGATATATCCATATGGGACTATAAGGGCTACGATATTTCCTTAAACAGAAGCAAATGAAAACGCTAAAATATAATATATAGTTCTGAGAGCTTTCTTCAAGAGGTGACAACGAGCAAAAATCATCAATGATTCAAGAGTTGAATCTGAGAAATGCCATGCATTTGTAAATGTCCTGTATTTTACCTTCGTTTATCTCCTTTCAGTCGCAGGCTATCAAGGACATACAATTTTTACTGAAGCTTGCCAATTGTTATCATAAACTTATTCCTAATTTTGCTGCATGAACTACATCCACTGATTCATTTTACCAAGAAGGGGGTTCATTTTGAATGGGATTCCAATACACTAACAAATTTTTCTTCTTCTCAAACAGAAATAATCTTTTTAAAACCCTCTATCATCCAAATCAGGGTGACATTTTCCATTTTCCCTCAGGATCTGCACTTTTATAGTCCGAGTTAAGGGCACTCTGCTAATACAGGTAATCCTTGACTTACAACAATTCATTTACATGAAAGTTACTAGGATATTTTTGGCCATTAAAGAAGTCTTTTAGCAAAGGTGCCATCTCCTCAAAGGAAATCCAAACTGACCACAATTTGGAACAGGCTTCTCACAAATTTACACTCAGACATTCTTTTCATCATTTTAACTTGCATTTCTTGCATTCTTAGCTTGCAGAATAAGCTGGTGGATGGTTTATCCTATAAACCAGAATATTCCCTACTTTACAATACTCATTCCATCTCTATTCTGCAACTGGAAATTTCCTCCCTCTTTTTTTTGGTATTTGGTTCACTCTAGGAAACTGTTGGGACTGGAAGGAAGCTTCTTTCCTTATCTGATCAAATCTCATTCAGCAAAGAGCAGGATCCATATGTACAGGCTCAGCTAGATCATCTTCAGGCAATTCTTCCATTTTCTTTTTCCTTGCGAAAGGGGAGAATGACATCACAACAAATGGTTAGAGATCTTCCTTAAAGAAAGATGTGTTGCTGCTCTGCCAGGATAACTGGCCAGCTGGGCATTATGGATTATTTTAAATGACCCATTTCCTGCTCCATGACTTTTCATATGCTCAAATTAAAGCAATTTCAATGCCAATGATTCTTCAGCAGCATGACAAGTTTTCAGCCAACAAATTAGCTTGACATTACATCCCCTCTCCTCCCCATAGAGACTTTGGCATACAATTTCCCTGGCATCTATTACTAACCTACTATGTATGAAGAGTCTAGATACAAGCTCCCAGATGAATGGCTTCAATTTTTGAAGACGCAGAGATGTGTATAAAGTTGGGAGAAGAGGAAATGAAAGTGAATGGTGACTTGCTTAATGTAAAACCAGCATATCTGCCTAACGATTGGATGAATGTAATTATTGTTTTATTGCATGGATGGCAAGAAAGAATGCTAAAAAAAAAATAGAAGGAAATTCCATTTGTTAAATATGCTTGAGAAATTGTTTAGAATATTCTGTTTCAAAGGATTCAAGAGGTAACAATGAGCAAACTTTTGTGAAGTGCCATGGAGATTTTTAGTTTAAAAGGTATGCTTATATTTTACTCCTGTTTACCTGTTTTTACCTGCAGGCTATCTGCTATAAAAGAAAACAATGCAAAACATGAAGTATAACTCACGGTCTAATTTTTATTAAGCAAAATAATGAAAATGAAAATAAAAAACAGCAGTAACTTATTTATCAGGTAAAGTTTGCTTACCAGGTAAGCAGGCAATTGCAAGTAGTCTTCAAACTGTACAAAAGTAGAAGCGGGTGATGAACATGGATCTTTCAATCTTTCCCCTAGTGCTTAGAAACTACATCTTTCTCCCTGCATTCTGGCACTGATCCTATCTAACCCTATCTAATCTAACCTACAAACAGCATGGTATTGTCAATTCCTGCTATTGCACTGGTTAGACTGTTTTTTCTATTTAAAAAAAAAAATCCAATCCCAAACTACAAAGGTAAAATTCAAGCATGGATTCATTCAAAGCAGCCAAGCTTTATTTTACACACAGAACAGAACTATTTAATGCTAACTTAAATTAAACTTCCAGATCACTACTGTCTTTTCAAACTTGGGACATCTGAGGAAGCCATTCTAGGTTCAAAACAGTGCTGTCTGTGTTTTCGTAACTCTTATGTACCTTAAATTGAATTAAATAAAATTTAATTGAATCAAACATGCATACATGCATATATACATACATACATTTCTAGAAATGTGTCTGCATACGGACACATGAAAAAATATGCATAAGGTAGATATCAAATTGATAATTATATGCACAGAAATTCATATATGTCTTTCTCCAGTCTGTTTTCATTGGACCCATATATCCTACAAGTGAGCTGTATAAGCCACTAGCTAATGCAGAACTTGGTTGTTGTTTTTTTGTTGATATATAATATTGAAAACTGTTTTAAAATGAGACATGTAATGGAGAGGCCTGCTCCTCTAATAGTCATTTAATAGCCAACAATTGTCTGTATAGCATACAATTTATATACATTTCCCCCCCCCCTCCAAAATCTCACCTGTTTAAGTAGATTTGGTTTTTTTTCTAATAACGCATATATAAGATGGCACCCTGAATTTACAGTTCTAAAAAGTGTTATTTTCTAGGAAATACCGAAATCCTTTCCTGTCACTTCGGCTTAACGCGTCAGCGCTGGCCCTTCAATCCTCTCTGAAGGTTTGTTTGTTGCCTGTTTTTCGTCGTCCCCTCGTTCGCTCGTTTTCACCCCCTCCTTTGAACAGCCCAGACCTGATTTTAAAAAAAATCAGTTCACGGGGTTGATCAGGATTTTCTTCGTAAGTGAAATACGCGAAGGCTGCCTGTCACTCACCGCAGTTACCTTTTAAAAACGCAGCGGGTTCGACTTCTAAATCAACACGCTGCTTTATAAAAACCAAACCCAAAAAATAATTTAAAAAACCGTAAGGCTGCAGCGGGCAAGATAACAAAACCGAAAAAATAATAATAATAAAAGAAAGTAAGGTAGGGAAGAAGAAAAAAGAAAGTGTTAGCGGAAAGGGGCACGTTTGGAGAAGATGGGGGGGGGGAGGACGAGGAGGAGGAGGCCCTGCCGGGGGGTGCAGTTGCTGTTCTCAGTCAACAGGTTGCACCGTTCCCCCTCGGCTGCCCCGCAATGCGCGCGCCCGCCTTTCCTGCGCGGGCTCCCCGCTCTGCCGCGTCTCTGCTCTCTTTCCTTGGTCTAGGGGAGGGAGGGGGGAAGAGGAGGAGAAGGAGGAGGCGGAGGCTGCCGCGGCTGCTGCGGCTGCTGCTTGCACCGTCGCCGTCCTCCATTTTGTGGCTGGGGCACAAACCGTAGAGCTGAGCGCAGACGGAGTGGCTGGCGGGGGGAGGAGGAAGAGGAGGAGGAAGAAAAAGAGGAGGAGGAGGAGGAGGGGAAGAAGAAAGGGAGGGCGGGACGCCCTGGCGGAGGGAAGGCGGGAGAGACGTGGAGAGAGAGAGAGAGAGAGAGAGAAAGTGTGACTTTAATTAACCGCGGGGGCAGAAGTGTGCGTGTGCTGCACGCGAGTGGGGGTGGGTGGGAGAGGAGCAGGTGAGGGGCTTCGGCGGTGTGTGTGTGTGTGTGAGCGCGGGTCCGCCTGTCAAGTGCGTGTGGGGAGGAAAGGGAGGGGGCCGACTGCTTACCTCCTCATCTGCAAAGAGGCGGCTGCTTTCACCCTCCACCCCCACCCCACACCCAATCCCGTCGCCCCGTAACTCTGCTTCCTTCCAGTCCCCACCAAGTTGTTTATTTGCTTCGCTGCCTGCTGGAGCCATGGAAGTTGGTGGTTAGGAGGACTCCCAGCGCCCCCACTGGATACGGTAAGGGGTGTCTCTCCCCCCCCCCCCCCCCCCCCCCCCCCCTTGGGGTGGGCCGGGGGGAGGAATGGTTTCTACTTTTCTGCGCCCCCCCCGAAGGGGGGAAGATGGGCGGCAGAAGCGCCGCGGAGTGTTTTTTTTTTTTTTTGTAGAGGTCACCCTCCACCCTGTCAGTAATGCCTTCCCCCCCCCCCCCCGCCCTCCCGCCATTAAGACCGAGCGGCTTGCTGCCGAATGGTGGTGAGGCCGGAGAAGGGTGGGAGCCCCTTCCCCTCAATCCCCTCGATCCATTGAGTCGCTTTAACTTTAAAGTCCTCCTCATTAAACGGGGACGAAGGAGAAGGGTGTCTGGTGTGTGTTTAAATATATGTATGCGCCTATGTGTATAGTGTAGGCGAGGGTGGGTGGGGGAATGATTTCCTATTCTGTTCTACAACCATCTTTGGCTCACTCTAATCCGGCTTAAGAGACTGTCCAAAATAGGGTATCTTCTTGGAATGGAACGATTTTAAATTTGCGATCCTGTATCTATTTACTTTGTGAAGGACTCTGAATTCAAACGGACTTTCTTCTGAAAGACGTATATGGGACTGCACTGCAAAAGTAGTATAAATCTTATGTAATGGTTCCCTCCCTCTACTTTATCTTCCCCTCGACTTTTTTTTTTTAAGGCTATTTGCAAGGGTTTTTAAAAAAAATAAATGTTCACTTTTTTTAAAAGTATGCTATCACCTTCCTTTTGGTTTCCCCTTTTTTATTTGGCGGCCCCACGGTTGGAAACAGACAAGGAGTTGAAAACTTGGACTTGGTTAGAATTTTTTTGTGTTTTTTTTTAAGCAAAGGGCTGATGTTATTTTGCAGAAGTGGGCGTGCCAGGCAAATGCTCAACAGGTCCCGACACATTTTTTCTTTCTTTTTTTCATCTTTACAAGAAGAGAATTTCAACTCAAAAAAGATTAAATATCTTTGGAGTTGCTTTTTTCACTTCCAGCAAATGAATCATATGATAGATTTATCCCTTTGGCGTTGTCTGTCACATAATGACAAGGGGAGAAACTTGTCAAATGTGGTAACTCCGGTTCTTTTTCTGTCCTTCCCTCTTTTTTTCTTTTTTTCTTTTTCCTTTAGAGCTATGATATAGTGTGGATCTTTTAAAATTGCACAATTCTTTTTGTCAAGGCCAAAAAGAATTTTTAAAGTTTCATGCAACTTTTGAAGAGGATATTGCAGAATTGGCTGTGTCATTTGTATATGTTGCCTTTTTGTTTATTGTAAGTTGCCTTCTTGCCATTCATAAACACCCTAGGCTTCATAAATTTGCAAAATCTGTGCAAAGAAGTTAAGGATACATAAATGTATCTAAATACTAAATACTAAAAATATGTTTAGTTTTTTAAGAATAAGATCTTATTTCTAAATTTCTATTTCTAAATTAAGAATATAGTAAGATTTCTTTTTTTAATGAAAATTAAGTCAATGGATCATACAGAGAAACCTGGATGATGAATAGATTTGTAAGTTGTGACAGATACAAATGCAACAATATTTGAATAGACCTGACTGAGATTCTTGAAAATAAAATAGTTTAGGAAAAGTATACAAATTAAAGGTACTTTTTGTTTTAATATTTATAAACAGTCTTTAATTTGACATGAATTAAATACTCTATTAAATAGCTATTCTGTTTTTTGTGGTTTGATTGTATTAGACAAATATTATTTGGTTAAATTAAGATAACTTTCCAGCAATTGGGATGTTTTGTATTAGAAATATTACTTAAGAGACATTGAAAACTATTAAGCCGTACCTTTTTAATATTCTTTTTTTCTTGGGGCCAGTACTTTGTAAATCCTTACATTTCTGATCTCAGGCTAATAATGGTTTCTTTTATTTATTTTTATTAGTATTGAAATAATGGAGCCCAAAGAATCGTTAAAATCCACTGGAGGGGAGGAAAGAGGGAAAAGTGCTCACTTTCATCCATCCTTTAGGGGTGGTGCTTCTGTCAAGACTCCTGTATCTGCTCTGTCTGCCTCATCTCAATCTGACTCCAAGCAACCTGTTCTGTGTGACTTGCCAAAGGGGTTAGGAAGCAATGTGCCGCAGCCGGATCTCTCCAAAGCAGTGTCACTTTCAATGGGACTGTATATGGGTGAAACTGATACAAAAGTAATGGGAAATGAACTTGGATTTCCTCAGCAAGGCCAAATCAGCCTCTCCTCTGGAGAAACAGATTTTAGACTCCTTGAAGAAAGCATAGCAAGCTTGAATAAATCCTCTAGTCTGATAGAAAGCTCAAAGGGAGTTGCATCTACTGATGTATCCCTGGAACCAGAGTTCCCAGCTATGACTTTAAATCAAGGGTCTTTAACGCAAGGCCAGGTTGACAATAACAGTGGCAACTTGAAGCTCTTTTCGGAAGACCAAAACACCTTTGATATTTTGCAAGATTTTGATTTGCCACCAGTGTCTCCTGGAAGAGAAACAAATGGAAGTCCTTGGAGAATGGATCCTGTTCTGGATGAAAGTAGCTTGCTTTCGCCTCTTGGTGGGGATGAGAGTTTTCTTTTGGAAGGAAATGAAATGGAGGATTGCAAGCCTCCCATTTTACCAGACACAAAGCCTAATATTAATGAATGTGAGGATCTTTTGTCAAGTTCTACAATTCAGATGCCACAAGTGAAAACTGAAAAAGAAGATTTTATTGAATTGTGTACCCCTGGAGTAATAAAGCAGGAGAAAATAGGCACAACTTACTGCCAAGCTAATTTTTCTGGATCAAGTATGATTGGAAATAAAACATCTGCCATTTCTATTCATGGTGTTAGCACTTCTGGAGGACAAGTTTACCACTATGATTTGAACACTGCGTCTGTCACTCAACAGCAGGATAAGAAACCAGTTTTCAATGCCATTCCATCTCATCCTGCTAGTTCAGAAAATTGGAATAGATGCCAGGGATCCGGAGATGATGCCCTTAAACCAGTGGGGGCTTTGAATTTTTCAAACAGATCTGTCTTCTCCAATGGATATTCAAGGTAAGATACGTTTTTTTCTATTTAAACTTAATAGAATGCTTTTATGTAATATAAAGGTAGTTATAATATGTTCATGTTTATTATCCTTTCAGTTAAAACATTTAATTCTTTGAAAAATAGGCTATCTGCAGTGCGGGCACGTCATTGCAATTTTACATTTTATAATTATGATAATAAAGGAGAAAAAATAACAATAAATGGCTATTTTGCCATTCAAGTTACATTTTAACCAAAGACAATGAATTAGTTTCAATTTTCATTTCAATTTCAGTTTTTATTTCAATACTGTATTGGTTCTCGTGATATTATTGAACAAAAATCTATTTTATTTATTTATTCTTTACTCATTTTATCCAGTAAAATATAAAGCTTAGGATTTTTGTAGTAGGGTTTCAATTTTAATACTCAACATAAGTAAATTTAGGATGATGTGCAGATTAAGCTATGGGAAGTAGGGTTTTTGACACTGAAATATTGGATATACATTCAGATTTAGAAGTATAAATTTTGTTGCTATCATCTAACAAATTTATTCTATATTGTTACATCCATTTTTTCCTGTAAAATTATTTTTTTCATTGAATGTTTTAATCTATATTTAAGCGATTTAGGGGCAGCTATATTCTAACAGAAGTTTTATCTTTAATTTCTGCAGAACTTAATTATTTGCTTCTAACAAATGTTGGCATTTATTATTTTTAATAAACTCGCTGTTCCTTTGAAAGTTGAGTTCCATTGGATTTTTATATTACTAGATAGAATTTACATGTGAGTTTGTTATTAGAATAAAATATTAAAGTATTGTATATCGAATATAGTAATCCAGTTTTCATTGGACTATTTTGTTCTTTTGCTTTTTTGGTCTTTGTTAAGAACATAAGCACAGATATTAAATAACACAGAGCGTGCTTCAGTTTTCTACTTTTTATATGTTCTATTTTCACTCATGACAATTACTGTGGTAGAGGAAAAGAAGAAATGGTTTGGACACTATCGCTATATAGAGAAGGTTGATTTGTAGTACAATGTATATTGCTTCATATTTATTCGATTTTAAACATCTCTTAATAGAAACAATTTTATAGTACATACTTGTTGCAAGTTGCCTTTTATAACTCTTACTTTTCATATTTTTATTATATTGAGTGTTATGTGGTAAATTTACAACAAATCTCGTGAAATTCTGTAAATAAGATGCTTAAATCATTCTTTGGTAAAAATTTATACAAAAAGAATACCCTTTAAACAGGTTATAGTTTTGTAGTTAAGCTATACACCTGTATTTAGGAGGTTTATGCTAAATATTTTTTTAAATGATTTGGTGTGTCTAAAGTCTCAGAAATGTGTATGAATTCCAAATACCTTTTGTTGCTCAGTTGAAATCCCATTTTTCTTACCTCGATTTTATCTTATATTTAATATAAAACATAAATTAAAATGTTTCTTATACATTATA